TTACTTGCTCTTGTCTATAAAATCAAAATTGGTACTTCACTATACATTATGTGGAGCACTACGCAATGTATTCTCTCTCTCTCTATGTATGTATAACAAACTATTATTTGTTAATATGTTTATGTATGCGTCTGGTTTCTCTGACTCTAACACTCTCTGAAAGCTCATTGTGTAGACGATTAATGCCTCATGTCCTACATTAATTTAGTACAGTGCTGGGCACATCACTGGTTTCAAATAAGCCCCTACCAATTGATGGACCGATCAATTAACAAAATGGAAAATCCAGCCAGCAGGCTCAAGCTTTGTCTACTGGAAATTACTTTCCTAAAAAGCATTTTTCCTTCCTTTACAGATCAATTGCAAAGTCAAAATTCAAACACTGCAGATTTCACAAACGGGAATAGCTGGAAAGTATTGGGCTTTACAAATAATGAATGTGCACATCAAAACAAAAGTTGTAGATGTTTGTAAAAGTACACACATGCAGCTGATATGAGCAGAGATGGCTAAGAATCCCTCCTCCCAGACCAAGTAAAGGGTAAAGCTGATCCTGATAGAGCTCACCAGTGTTGCATGGTTTCCAAATCACAAGAATATTCCTGGAGTATAGCCTAGCTTCGTCAATTGCAAAAAGACAAAACAAAACAAAACAACAACAAAAAAACCCCTAGGTATTAATTTGGCAAATCCCCCTTGTCTGCTGATCTTTCAGACTTTTACAGCATCTATAAATGAAGACAACGAAGTCTGTTTCATTAGGAGATAAGCCTACACATCGTACATCTTTGTAGTTGGTACTGCAGTAGGAAATGGAAATAATAACAATCTTTTTATATTGCCTGTTAGAGACCCTAATCCAGCTTTCTCTACAGGAGGACAATACTGAAAATAGTATGGCTAGCCTATGCTAATCAATTATATATTTAAGTATGTCATAGGTTTGATTCAACCTCTTTCGGATTAAGATCAAAATGGCAAATGTTCAAATCACTTCTAGCATAAGGCACTAGAATATAATTCTTTATAATGTGAGATACATGGTTGGCATGTAGCATTATTTTTCCAGAATAATAATATTTGCTCTGATTCAGGGCTTCCTATGTGCCAGACGTTGTTCTAAGCACTTTAGATAGATCAAGCTATTCAATCTTCAGAAGGGCCCAATGTTGTAGGTATTGTGGTCATTTCTCCATTCTATTTATGAGGAAATTGAGATACGGAGACTTTAAATAAGTTTCTCAAGGGCAAGTGGAGACTTCAGAGGAATAAAGATTGCTGTTTATGAGTTGTTAGAGCCAGGAATAAGCAGATCTGGTATTTGAGACAGAACAGTCTGGCTCCAGAATCAGGTCCGTAACCACTGCACTACATAGCCTTTAAAGAGTTTGTAGGCTGTAAGTGAAGGATGTGTATAAGGGTAGAAATGTCACATGATTGACATTCACACAAGCCTGGTTTAAATCTCAGCTCTGCAATTTACTAGCTGTGTGGCCTTGGACAAATTACTTAACATCTCTGAACCCTGTGTTTTTCAACCCCATAGTGAGGATGATACTGCTCATCTTGTAAATTTGCTGTATTTGCAATAATCTGTATAAAGCACCCATCACGGTATATAGTATATAGTAAGTATTCAATAATTTACCATTATTATTATTTAAAAAGTAGCCCAAGATTTGATATTTTATAGTACCTGGTAATTCTCTATGAGTTCACAGGTAAATTACTGAATAAACTTCAAATAAGTGGAAGTACATTGGGCCAGAATTCTTTGGGAAAAGACAATGTTGTCGCTGCATGTACCCTAATGAATATCATTTCAACATTAATAGCACTCATCGAAATTATTTAACATTCTAATATTTAACCTGTTGATCAAAGGGGTTAAATCTAAGGTAAGAGCTAACCTTACTCTGATTCATATTATTGGTAAATTTATTTCATAATAGCTGAGTGGAAAAAATAAATCTAACTCACTGAACTTTTAGTTGTATCATCAGTAAAATGCATGACAATGCTGAGCGATATATGTCATTGTATTGGCTCGAAAGTTATGATAGTCTTTTCAGAATCAGCTATAAAAATTGATCTCACCCCCATTCCCTCAAGAAGTCAATAGCAATCTTTGAATTTCTTGTTTCTTTTCCCTCTTGTAATAACCTCACATCTAATGAAGATGAATTTCCAAAGATGAACCCCAGGGAGTTGATAATCTATCAAATACAACTACTTAAAAGAGAATACTAATCCTTAAGTAGAAATAATACCTGGCTTTAGGTTGCAAATATTACCAAAGCTGGGCAGAGGGAAATACTCAGCATTGAAAATTAAAGAACAAGACATTCCGGCCATTGCCTGCACATCAGTAACCCCACTCCGTGGTCCAAAATGACCCTTCCATAAAGGAACCCCTACACTACCAGGAACAGGATCCTTAGTCTCTCAATTTCAAAGCTCCTTTAACCAACCGAGCCACCCAGGCGCCCAAGAAAGTAGCCTCAGAACAAGAGTCCAGGGCACCCGGGAACGGTCTCCCATCCAAGTCCTGACCAGATCCGACCCTGCTTAGCTTCCGAGAGCAGAAGAGATGCACTGCCATCAGGCCGCTAGGGCCATAGGCTCAAAGCTCCTTTAAAGCCATCACGTACCACAACCAAAGGTCCTGGGAGCTCTTTTCCAAGTGGCACAGCCATACACATAACTAGGCCAGAATGGGGCGATGAGGCATGTTCTGAGTAAGGACAACTCCTCAGTCGTTAGGCATGATGGAGGCAGAGACCCAGAATTAAACCTTGATTCTTTCTCACCTTTTGGCAGCCACAGGACCTTGATTTATCTTATTTAGAGGACTGCATGTCATTATTTATTTAGAGGAATATGTGATTTGTATATCTAAAATGTCTAGTGTATAGGATATAGTGGACACTAAATGATAGATGCTGTTGAGTTGTTTTAATTTTTAAAATTTGACCTGCATTGTCATGTGTTGAGGTATTTTGATCCAGAGCTACTTCAATGCACCCTCTGGTAAAGGAAAATAAATCAGATAGAATTACTGCATCTCATATTTTCAAATAAGTATCAGGGAACTAAAATGGTACCTCTGACAGCCTTCCAGATTATGGCAAAAGACACCCATTATGTATCATTAGATACACAGAGACATGACATGAAAAAAGAGTGGGAGTCACAAAGGATCTCAAACTTAAACTTTGATTCTCTGCTCAAAGGAGATTATATACAGTCTCAGAGACAGAATTAAAAGAAGACATTTATCACACAGTTAAAATAAATGTGTATTTTGTTTCATGTGACTGTGCTTCTCAAAGTGCACTATGAATTGGTATTTTTCATAAATCGTCTAAATCGCCAGTAAATAGCCTACTTATACTGCACTGTACTTCCGGCGTTAAAAGCATTATTTTTAAAAATGCAAACATTTATAATACAGGAAGATTTGATAAACCTATTTTGGCATGGCTTCATCTATTAATAGATTGTGATTCTCAAATAACGAAGTAGCTTAAGCCTCCTTTTACCTCGAAAAAGGTCTGCCACAGTGTAAAGAAACTCACTGACTCTCTGCTATGATCTAAAATATAGTTTTATTGTGATAGTAAATCCATATTTAATAGTAATGATAATAATAAAAACTCACCTTTATTGCTAATGTACTAAGCACTATAAAAGTATTTTCAAAAGCACTGCCTCACTGAATCCTCCCTACAATTGTACGAGATAGGTGCTATTATTTATTTCATTTCGTACATGAGGAAACAGAGGCTCAGAGAAGTTCAATAACTTGCCCAGGTGGGTGGCACAGTGCTTGAACCTCAGCAGTCAAACTCTGGAGCCCACGTTCCTCTCCAGAATTCTCTAGGGTAGGGCACAGATTCATGACCCAGACTGCTTTCACCGGCCCTTTTTGTGTGTGTGTGTGTGTTCTACTTACTATTCCAAATTAATTTTATGCTTCTAAACACATGCTTCCGAAACCAACTTTCTATTCCGTGATGTTATTTTTTAGTGCCCTTAAAAATAAACAGCTCTTTACTTTTCCTCTAAGGCACATCTTTTCCTCACCTGCAGGGGAAGCTGTCCCATTTCCCTGCCATATAATAGCTCCTCCATGCTCCCCCTGGTTAACAGTGAATCCAGCTGCCTTTTCCTTACTCCTCTCTCTTAAGGCCTCTCCCAAGTATCTTCCCAATCGGATTGCAGCTGCCTCAGGCCAGTGCCTCCAGAAAGGTCCTCTGGTTTGTCACCCCCTGTGCTCCTCAGCCTGGGCATGCTGGAACCTACAGGCATCTGCACCCCCACTTATCCCAACTGCTGTGGTTACAAGGAGCCTCTTTTCAATGCAGACAGCCAGTCAGCCAAGTCGAAATTTATACCAGAAATCTATTACCTAATTTTTAAACAAAATGACATGAAATCAGACTTGAAGATACCAAAAACATGTCTAGTTTCTGATTTAAGCAAGAAAATCCACATTGTTATTGCTTCCACCACAGAATAATTTACTGCAACAGGAGTTCTGGATCTTATGCCAAAAATGAGGTCCTCTAACCAATGTCAAGGCCAATTATCTTGTGGGAGATCCCACAACAAAAGCAGACTATTGTGATTAGAATCAGAAGCACCACCCAGAGAAGCTGGAAAGCTTCTGGGGATTTCTGAAGTTATTTTTTATTCCTTCTCCCTGTATGTCTGCTTAAATAAACTACCAGCAACTTTGTGTGTGGGCACGGAACATCTTAGATTAGTTCGGGAGACAAGGAGAGGGGTGACCAGGTTTGTTTTGAGCTGTTGAGCAGGAGCCAGACTGCAAGACTCTGTGTGTGTGTGTGTGTGTGTGTGTGTGACTGCAAAGATCACCACAGCCAAGGTCTCCATCTCCTCCCTTCCCTAATCTTCCCAAACACACTGCCGGTAGCCATCCTGCGGTTTCCTACAGGGAAGGGAAAGTCCAGGTGGCTACATTCTGGAACACTCACCCCACAGTAAAGAACTGCCTCATCTCCTGCCTCCGAGACCTCATGAGTTGCTTATACTCCCCGATCCGGAGCTTTTTGCCATCAACAATGCAGGTGCGCTTCGGTCGAGGTTTGTATTTATAGTTCGGGTACTTCTCTAAGTGGATCTTGCTTAGCCGGGCCTGCTCTTCATAGTAAGGTTGCTTCTCTTGGTTGGACATGGATTTCCAGCGAGACCCTAAACATAAAAACAGCCTTCAGTACCCAACTGGTCAAGGCAACATGTTGCTGGCAAATACTGTATATACCGTCCCACTGCGTCACTCACCTGTGTTCTGGGTAGCTCCTACCACCACATATCACTGAGCCTCCCAAGCAGTGTAAAGAGCAAAGAATAATTTTGCATGTGATACATTTATTACATTATTTCTGTCGATAGCTTCAAGCTGGTGCTACAAAAGGTATATTGTTTTAAAACATGTCTGTTGCTTATAGATCACCCCCAACGCCAAGGTCCTTCCCCCATCTATCTGTCTATCTCTCTCAAAGGGTGAAAAACCTAAACTTCCAAAGCATACTCTCAAGGCGGATGGGATTCTCAGAAAAAGCTCTCCTGGTTCCAAAGATTCAAACATCTCCCACCCTTGTCCAAGCATCTTTAGGGAAGCTACTCCGTGATAAGATGTCAGCAGATGTTGATATCCTTCCATATATAAAAACCCACTGAGCACACCGTCTCCCCTGGCCCAGGGTAATTAAAAAGCCTAAACCCTACCTAAGAAGTTCTAGCTTTCAAACCGGAAGGTACAGTTGGAATTCTATATACCATTTTCAAGTACTATAAACTTTCATTCAAAGCTGTACCAATGATAGCACAAAAATTTTTAATGTGGTTTATAGAGGAAGAAGGAAAAGTATTCACTTCTCTAATATTGTTTATAAAGAATTATCTAAACACTTGACGAAGAAGGGATGTGTTTTTTTACATGTATCAAATTGCATTTTTGTGTCTCGCTGGTGAATAAAGCAGTAACAGCTGTGCTGACTGGATGTTAGCTATTCTTCAGTGGAGATTTTTCATACATAAACAAATGGAAAGTTGTACAAATATTCTCTGTAGCCAGCAATATCCTGGTCTGCTTTAATAGCACATCCATCCCTGTTCTTTCCTGATTGTTGTGCAAAAGTTGTGTAGACAGTCTATGCAGATCGGCTTCTCTGGGTTCTGCTGACTCCCAGTAGCTTAAAGCCCCAGTTCACAGGGGATTCTTGGTGCTCTTGAAATGCTTGTGCTTTAAAGTGTATATTTTCATGAATACACTTACTATGTTCTTAATAATTTTTTTTCACAGAATGCACACCAATAATATAGATTCCCCACAGCTGCCAAAATGGAAACAGAGAGGTTCTGTGCCCATCTAAGAGCCTACTCATGCTGCTATTAGAATGGCAAAAAAAAAAAAAAAAGAAAAAAGAAAAAAGAAAGGAAGAAAGAAAAAGAAAGAAAGAAAAAAGAAAAAGAAAAAAAAAGAAAATTCCAAAGTTAGGTATCAAACTTCAAGGACAGAGAAACACTGATTTTCTTTTAAATGTCTATTAACTAGAAAAAAAAATTTAATATATCCATGAGGAGCATTTTGGTTTGAAAGGTACTTAAGTTGAAAAGGAATAACACTATCCCTGCACATATCTCAGAAATCCTAAAAATGACACCCCGCTTAATCGTAATGACATTTAGTATCCATCTTGAAATTCAAAAATCAAAAGGGAAAAACTTATTTTTTTTAACATTTCACCACTATTTGATCTTATGTATGTTTTAAATTTTCTTTGAGGTTACTGCCTCCCCATGTCTCTGAATCAAGTTAAATTATTTATACAGTGACAAAACATGTGTATTTGTGTATGTCCAGATCACCGATATTTACTAAGGTTAAATATTTATTGCTTTTGAACAAAACATTTAAAAAACGAAAACCACAGTTTAAGTCTCTAATGTTTTTCAGCATCTTAAACGGCTCCTTTTGAGATTTTGTCACATCATGACAGCTTAAATAGAACAGTGCCTTCTGTGTTTTTTCTTTTTAAAGAGGAAACATGTTGACTGTAATGCTGCATATTGAATAAAATATGTTCAACATGTTGAACACAATAATTCCAAACTGTATCATCCGCACTAGGCAAGCTTTACGCTCACAGAACGAGGCTTGAGTTTAATCCTGAGAAGCGGGAGAATCACCCTGGCAATTGACCACAAAATGGGCCTCTGCCCTGGGGTCTGTGTGTTCAAGTCTCTGCTCTGAAATCCGAACTAGTCATATCTTATTAAAGTAAGTGCAGTTTCATTTTACAAGTGTTAAAGTTATCATTTGAGGCACTGTTCAACACTTCAGGAATTTCACACTATTTGGGGGCTCACCCCAGGTCCTGATGAGTCTTTCAGAGGGACACAGGAACCCAAGAACCCTGAAGCAGAGAACTGTAGGATCTGTGCACGTTTCTGAGGTTTCGCAGCAACTTACGGATTGAAGAAGGCTGAATAAGAGGGGATAAAGCTTGTCTCCATGATTCCTGTTTAGCAGTGACCTCTCCAAGTGGCCGAAGTCACAGTATATAACAGACTGTACAATAAATTTTTAGTCAGTCCTTCCCTGGCACCAGTGGATGTGTAACCCCTAAACCTAAATGGACACAGAGATGATGACGAAGACTCCCGAGGCAGCTTGCTGAGCTACATCTAATGTCTGCAAACCACAGTCTCCCTGAGGTGCCAGGTGATGCCCCTGTTTTCCACTCTCCGGGCACCCGGGGGGGTAGAAGGTCAGCATCAGAGACTGCACTCACCTAAGATTTTGCTAATGTTGGAGTTATGCATGTCGGGGAAGGCCTGAAGGATTTTCCTCCGCTCATCCTTCGCCCAAACCATGAAAGCATTCATTGGTCGCTTGATGTGGGGCTCGCTGCTGGCCCGGCTGCGGGCATCCCTGTAGACTCGCGCTTCAGCCACAGTGGCGCCTCCTGTTGGCCAACAATAATACTGCTGTAGTTTAGCTGCAGAGCCATTCATTGCTTTACTTCCTGTAACGTCAGGGCAGGAAGAACAAGACGGGTGCAAAGCGTTATTATCTGAGTAACGTAACACAGCTTGCCGCCTGGTGCAGCTGTTTTCCCTAGGCCCTTCTCTTCTTTTTAAGTGACTCTTGGAGGAAGAGCGTTTCAAATGACAATTCTATAGGCCCTTCTGATGGAGGCCTCAAAGACACGCTGGGCAGAATTAATTTTGTATGTTTTTATACACCTAGTACATTTTTACTACAATAAAAATGCAGGTGGTGATTTAGCAATGACTGGCTTTATTTTACAGTAACCTTTCCTGTTGTGATTCCTCCCTTCAAAAGCAGGCTCCCATCTATCATTTTAGCCTCCTTTGCCAAAAATTGCAGCACTTCAAACTATCTCTTTACCTCAAATACCATTCTCTCACACAATATTATGCCTTGTCCAGTGCTCCTCTCAGTGCCTGGAAGCCCCTTCTCCTCCTTCTTCATGAAATCCCACCAAGTCCCACTCATCCTTCAAGGCCTATTCGAATGTGGTGTGTCTCACGAATTAATTAATTCAATACAAAATATTAATTGAGCAATCACTGAGTGAGGCATTATGTCAGGGGTTGGGGATGCAAAGGTAAATAAAACAGACCCTGCTTTTAGGGAGCACACAGATCAGAGGGGGTACAGACCGCAGGCAATTATCACAGAGTGTACGATCAGTGTTGTGATACTGAAGTAAAGCAGGGCGCCAAGAGGGCATCCGACAAGACAGTCGGCTAGTGCCTCTTAGGAGAGGCGATGTCTAACCTCTGTCGTGGAGGATGAATAAAGATCAGCACGTGAATAGGGCACGGCTGTAAAGACAAATGGGAAGGGTAATTCAGGCCATAGGAACAGCATTTGCAATGATGTTCCCTGGGCTGCTTTCATTCCTCTTTCTTTTATGCTACATGCTCCAAAGTAATTACTTGTTTATGTGACTATCTCTCTCTAATCTTTCCACTCCATCCCCAGGAATATGAAACCCCTAAAGTTGGTGTTTATGTTGTAGTCATTCTTGTATCCCCAGGATTTCCTGCATAATAGATATTCAATAAATATTTATTAAGTAAAAGATTGGTTTTCAACTTCTATGCAAACTAGTAGACTAAAAGGCATTTATTTCAAGGGTCCTGATACGTTTTTCTGCTGCTTAAGAGTAGTTCCTAAACATTCCCCCATGAAACTCTATCTAAATCTCTGATATTTTATCATTTCTGAAGAGGTGACTCTAGCTAGTAACATACTAGATTGAAATCTCCTTGAGAATATGGCAAGAACTGGCTCTCATTCACTGTGGTATCTCTAGGTTCTAGGAAAGCACTTGGCATATAGAGTTGTAATTAGTAAACTGTGTTAAATTAATGAATGATTGGATAAATGAATGAATAAATGAATGAACATAGCTCTTGCTTGTTTTCATGAATCCTACTAGCATGACACACGGAAGTATGCTCTGCAATGTGGCATCTACTAAATATCCCCCTATAGATTGAAAAACTTCTATAGCTAAATGTAAAGTGTTTGGACTGATGGGCTCAGTCAGGGTTTCTGCTGCATAAACAGGAAAGCCTACTCCCAAAAGTTTAGCAGCAAAATATACATTAAAACCAACATTTCCACTTTCTGGAAAAAGTAAAGCCTTTCAGCTCAGTGGAGTGATTATACAGGAACAACATGACCCAATCAATCTCTGGCCCTTCTACTCTATTTCTAGATACCTTGATTAAGTAGAAATTTGTTTGTGTCAGAGCTAGTAATAAATTAGAACATTAAAGTGCACTATTATTTGACAAATATGATCATCATTTATAGCAAACAAAAGACAGGATAAAAGGGCCTAACTGGTTAATATTATCAATTCTTTTCTAAACATGAAAGAGGGCAGAGGGGCCACTATTTGAAGACCATGCAAAAATAATATATTTTATAAACATCCCTTCTTTTCAGCCTACTAGACAGAATGATCCCTTACTTGAAAAGTCTCAGATCCCAAGATGCATAACTAATCTGCTACCTTTTTGCCACCATACCCACAGTACATTAATTTCATTTAAAATGCACTGACCATACAGGATAAATTGATTTCACTTTATATGGGTTTGACAGCCATGTTTATTGTGCAGTGAAATGTAGTGTAGCTTCCAGCTGACAATATCCATCAACACAGGGCAATATGCTGACTGCTGGGCCAGATGAAGGCATACATTACTCTGGAAGTGAAACACTCATTCAGATACGACAACGTCTTCTCCTGAGGATCACCATGGTAATTTATGATGCCCTCAGTGCCATTACTTTACAACTGACATGGATTCAGCAATTTATATACTTGTATGCATACACATAAAAGGAGACAGTCTTGTGGAGAATGTCAGATACAAAAACATTTCAATATTATTCTAAGTTAACTACTATGCCACAGGTGATTAACATTTGATTAACATTGAGATCTGCTTTTACTGTCATAGCTTTCTCTCCACCTCTAGCAAAACCAAATAGTCAGCTTCCATTTATTTATTCATTTAAAAGATGTATTTCATTGTGAATGGGAAGTTTTACTCTCTGATGGACTGAGAGAAATCATGGTGGATTTTTAGACCTTGGTCTTAAGTAGATCTTCTACTCCATACCAACTGATTCTCCCAGACATGTCTTACATAGGCCCCATCTCTCTCTCATTCCATACCTCAGTCTTAACATAGCCTTCCTATTCCCTTCTATCTTACTAAATTCAACTCTTTTCCAAGGGATAGACTCAGGTCCCACCCCACCAACTACCCTATATTGACCTTGCCCCTTTCTCCCATAGTACATACAGTCTACATGACACTGACAGTGAATTAATTACACAGCAGATATCTAGGACTTACAATAAATGTTCCCATAAATTTAGAAATTCAAGCACAGTACAGTACAAAGTATAAAAATGTGAATTAGGAAATGGAAAATAGGAATGCTCCAAGGCAGGCATGCATCCCTTTTTTCTTGCCTCCTCTCCTCTCTTCTAAGGGAAGTCAAGTGAAAAATGAATGGGGACATCCTGACCTAAACTAGGACTGTTATATCAATGAACCAAGATTTGAGAAGAAGAGACTTATCCAGGGAGGCCAAGGTTTGAAACCACTTTTAAACCAGACCTGATATCTGATCAGAGTCAGAATTTTAAGAACATATTTAGGGCACAAAGCCAAAAGAATATTTAGAAAGTGTTCCTTAGCTTCCCTAAACTTTGCTTCATGAAACAAAATGGCTAAGGAATTATTGCTGCAGCAGTAGAAATACAGACCACTGGGTATGTGTGTATAAATTCAGAAGTTTTAAAATGAAGATTGTATATTATGTAAGCTTTTTTAAACACATAAGGAAAATTCTATAGACTACTACAGAATTGTTTTCAAAAGGCGTGCTATTAGTCTGAATAGTTGAAGCCTAAAATCCACCTTCTGTTATAATTAAAATCTACATTTCAAGTGTGACTTCATACTGCTTCATTCAAAAAAAAGCACTTCATTCTAAAATAGCCAATGTTCTGTGTCGGAATCCAGAATTGTCCTAGGGACTGTCTCACAATTCTATGAGGCAGCCTCATTTACTTTTAAGAGCAGAGGAATCATTTGTGAGTTCACTGTTCACGATATAGCTCCTCATGGAAAGCAATTCGAAAAAGCCCAGCCCCAAAGCTATGTACCTAAAAACTACTGCTTTCAGGCTGACCTAAGTGTCTTTAATTACAAGCAGTAGTAATCCTAAATGACAGTTCCTGGCAGGCCAGCAGGTCAACACCACCACACTAGGCACCACGGGAAAGCTGTGTTCCCTGCACTCCAGGAATTCCTGTTCTCTTCAGCTTCCCCAGGGGGCTTGGTTTGATGAATTCATCTTTTGTCTTCCCATATCATAGTTTGGGTAAAGACAAACTTTCAGTTAGACAAAGAAAGATAGTCCATGGGGAGAAAAGAGAAATTGCCAAGGCAAAGACTTCCTTAGAAATCTGTGATTTAAATGATTTAAAGAGAAGACAGAAAGTTGAGTTTTTCCAGGTGGGTTGGAAAGGCCAGTGTAACCATCATAGACTATGGCAATGGTCCTGAACTAATCCTAGAGAGGCCCCCTTCCTGGGTAAATTCCAAGGGTTATGTGAGTGAATGAGTAAGTGTTTGGTATGTGTATATATATAAAGTTCTCCCTAAGGAAAAACTTTGGCTAATTCTATAATGTGTCTAGTAATCATTTATTTATGCACTAATTCAGCAAACACTTGTGACAAATTTCAGATAGACCCAACATTGTGATTGGGTCTACAAAGAATGATAACACATGTGCCTTTTTTTAAAGGGATTTGGTCCAGTGAGGGAAACAGACACATAAATAGAAGATTACAAAACAGTATAAGTGCCAACAAAAGTAATTTAAAAAGACTATGAAAGCAGAGAAGAGAAGCTATTGATTTTGTTGGAATGAACAGAGATGATGATCAGGGAGGCCTCAGAGATGCCCTGGTGCTTGAGCAGCATCTTAAAGGAAGAAGAAAAATTTACCAGCAGGTATGAATTTGAAAGTATTCTAGGCTGGAGAATTAGTGTGAATAAAGTCACAAAAGATTGGTAAGGTTTTAGGGTATAAAAAGAAGCTGGCTATGCTTGGGCTTATAGAAAAAAATAGAGGAGTACTAAGAGACGAAATTAGAAATGTAAATAGGGGACAGACTGCTAAGTACCTTGAATGCCAAGCCAAGAAGTCTTTAAGGTTTTTAAGCAGGGTAGTGACATGAACAAATACATTCAAGGAGATATCAAAATGGAAACTAAATGAGAAATTCTCTCTGAATAGTCTCAATGATTACTAATGAACTAATAAATCTACCACTTATAATCTGCAATGTACAATATATAGTAAAGAACTACAAGTTGTGCAAACAACCACTAAAATACGACCTAGAGATAAAAACAACAAAACAAAACAGAACAAACAAATAAAACCTCAACA